AGGATTATCATAGAGTGCAATTAAGAATCACTAACTGTTATAGTAAGTAAAAGTGATGATATTGTAATATCGCGTAAATACTGTGCGGACATACGTACGTACGGACGTAATGTACGTATGTGAATACGTATATCTGATATATATATATATATGCTGATTTAATGCGCGTCGAGAATTAAAAATGAATAATATGATATCTGTGTTATGCAAGTCATATTATTATTATGCATTGGCCACAAGAATTAGCCGCGATTTCCAAACGAACACTGGCATTTACCGACATAAAAAAAAAAAAATGAAGACTTTTTAACAATGCCTTATAGAGTTCCTTATAGAGTTTTGTGGAGTAATAATTAGACTGTAAATGTGTTCTTCTTTAGCTGAAAAGCAAAGATTGTATATTGGGATAGATTAATAAGTATAGAATAAGTATAGAATTTAATTGAATTACACCGGAAAAGGTCATTCTGGGGGAGAAGTTGTAAATTTTTTAATCTAAAGATACACAACGAATATCAGATATCGATATATACGCATATATGTACGTACAGTACGTATAATATAAGAATTCAGATATTTGTATAAAGTGCATGTGTATACAAATCCTTGGAAAAAAAAACAATTATGAGAATGGAGAATTTTTTAAAGAAGGAAAGATGGTAGAATATCGTGTAACCAAATGTCAAGTTATGAGAAACTCATTTTCGAATACGTGTAGAAAATTGGCTAATGCAATATTGCCAACATCTGGGGGGATCCCTGTATCTCATGACACAACTAGCGTCATCTGAACCATTAATGCACATTACATTGTAATGACACTTGTCATTAACATTGTATTAACATTGTATCAGTATTTGTAAATAGGGCAGAGAAGATAAATTAACGCTTTTACGCGTTTCTAAAAAAAATAAAATGATTTTTCCTTCCGGATCATTCTATACTCCAGTCATTTCTGTACTATTTCTGTACTATTTCTGTACTATTTCTGTATTATTTCTGTACTATTTCTGTATTATTTCTGTATTATTTCTGTACTATGACTAAATCAATTGATAGATTGACTAAAACTACGGTAAAGGTACTATATCGTATGTTCAATCTTGTAATTCTTTGTTATTATTTCGTGTTCAAATAATCTAATTTCATTGTTCCATTGTAACTGCATTGTCCTCGTGTCCAACTTGATAGTGCAAAGGTGCATGCAGCTTTTTTTAGTTTTCCTATCCAAATCCATTTTTTTTTCTCTCATTGTCTTTACCGGTTGTCACACAAGTTTTCACTAATATGTAATTAAACAATCTAATTTACAAAACAATAAAAATTCACAAATAACGTAAGGGAGGAAAAAAAAAAAAAAACAACAGCCAAGGAGCCGTTTGGATCCATTTATGATCATTTATGATGGAGGCTGACATTCTTGTTAAATCAAAAAAAAAATTTTTTATTCAGTATAACAAACATGTAAACAAAATAGGAACTATAAACAACAATGTAAACGAAGAATCTTTTTTTTTTTTTCTTTGGTGGCTAGTCGACGTAGTTTAAGTATTTAATGACGAGGTTTGGAACTTGTTTTCGAAATTGTGCCTTACGAAATTGTGCCTTGCCTTACGAACGAGATCAATCTTTTTTCCTCTTAAAAAAATATATTCAAGAGTGATTTTAATGAACTTTATATTTTTAACGTCCCTTAATTTTTTTTTTTTTTGTAATCATTTAACATGTTATAATGTTATAATGTTATAATAATGTTATATTAAACTTTTTGAAACAAGTTCATGTTCTCAAAATCTTTCTTGCATTCATTCCCCACTTTTCCCCAGAATGCACTCATCGCAGTTCTACGATCACTCCTCATATGGTTATAAACCGATCATTACTTTTCTCCATATGTTTAATCTCCACATCCATTAAAATCGATTAAAATCGATTAAAATCGATTAAAATCGATTAAAATCGATTAAAATCGCACGGACAATGCCCGTGAAAAAAAAAAATATATGTTAGCGTTTTGATATTATGACGCCCTGGTTCTTATCAAACGCATCTTTATTCTATATCTATAACTTTCCAAAAAAGAAAAACATCAAATTACATACTTACCTTGTATGGTTTAAGGGGGTGTTAGCTAATATAAGACAATTATTTTTTCTATTATGTTATTTTTTTCCTATTATCCAAAATTTCAAAATCTCATGATAATTAATATAAAAAACAATCCTATCTTTGACGCATTATTATTCTTCTATAATTGAATTCGTGAGATTAGTATTTTTGCATTAAAATTTGTTCAGTTATTATTTAATATTCAAAAAAAAAGTTTCATAAGACAACAAAATTATTTTCATAAGACAACACACGCGCACAACCACACAAAAAAAGATCTTTTAATGAAAAATGGGTCAATAAACTTCTAATCTCACAAACTTTCGTTTTTTTTCGTAATTTTTTCGTTATCTCTCTTTTCATCGATTTTCATTGAGAGATTTTCTCAAAAAAAAAAAAATCACACACCAATCGTACAAAAATAGGTCTGCATGTGTACGTACAGTAAAAAAAAATATTGGTATCATAAGAATGATGGGATTCCCTTTCGATTAATTCAAAAATAACGATAGATGAATGATGACGACAGACAATACAGCAATAGATTGGATTATTGATTATCATGAGTTATAAGATTATGATTATTATGATTCGAAAAGTTAATGATTGGATTAGATTGGATAGTATTCGGTGGTACCCGAAAGAAAGAGCGATTACGATTACGCGAATTATACGATTTTTCTCTAAAGGCACCCCTCTTTCAATAAACCACATTGTATAAAAGATTGGTCTCAAAAAAATTATCGGTCTCGTTAATTGATGCGTCAATGAACAAACTTAGCGTTATAATTCGACCGAACGCGTAAAACGTAAAACGTATAATTTCCGTTTCTTTTTTTTTTTTATGACATATAATAATAAAACGTTGTCCGATCGTACTTACCGTAATTTTTTAAAAAAAAATTCGCCGCCCGATTAAATCCAAATACCTTTTTTTTTATTAATCTCTTCGTATATACGCACGTGCATGCGTTCGTTTCTATATTATTTACATATTATTAAAAAAAAACTTGCATAAGCACAAAAAAATCGGTTACGGTTATACTTAACAGTTAATACTTTACGCGCGTTTATATTCAACTTGCATAACACAAATTTCAAAATTTTTTTTTTTTTAACACTTTCGAAATATTGCTCACGAACTTTATGTATTTTAAAAAAATAAATCGAATTTTTTTTAAAAAAAGAGGAAGTTTTATATATCATTTAATTTGTTTTTTTTTTTTTTTTTATTATTATTTTTTTTTTAGAACATTAGCAGCACTCAATAAATAAATAATAATAATAATAATAATTATATATAATAATAATAATCGGTAATACTTTATTCCAACTTTCGGTATTTTTATACCGAGAAACCACGCTCATTCAAAACAATCGATTGTTGTTGTTATATTTTAAAATTTGTAAAAGTGTAGAGAAAAAAAAAAAAGGAGTTATTATCGGTATTATTATTATTATTACTATTTTGAGTGTTGCTTAAAATTTCAAAAATTCGAGAAAAGAAAAAAAAGCAAAAAAGATGATAATAAAATTCCAAAGTGTTTAAAAAAGCTATTTAAAAATGGGAGGGGGGAGTTTTTGGTTTTTGAGTCTTGCTCGTTGAAAAAAAAAAAGTCTTAATGCACATATAATACATATATTTATGTTGATGTATATATATATAATAAAAAAAGACGAAGTTTCTATATAATGGATGTATGTATAAAGTGTGAATGAAAATTTTTTTTTATTTCACTTAGTAATTTTTCGGTTTTTTTTTTAATATTTTACAATCAATATACCAATTGGTTTAGATAATATATAAAATAAAAGGATTTGATTTTTTTTTTTTTTTTTTTTTTGTTTGATAAAAACTTGTTGAAGAGAATGAATTAATGAATTTTGGCATAGACGCGTAAATTTTTTGTTATTTTGTATGAGTGAAACGAAAACGAAAAAACTAAGCTTATAACGAATGTAACAAAGTCATAGGTTGTTAAAATAGCATATATAATATAGTTATAAATAATGATAAATAAAATAAAAATTTTTTTATAGGATTTTTTTTTAAAAAAAATGGTAAAGGTATGTTTAAAAAAAGGTGTATTGTTAAAAAAATATAAAGACTTGTTACTAATTTCGTAAGAAAAAAAAAAAGATGTGTTATTATTTTATCTGTCATAGATGAACGCGTCAAAAAATATTTTACAATGTCTCTTAGTTGTTAAAGTTGTTAATAAATTCTCTAGCTTTGCTCTTATCAAACCCTTAATGATATAAATGATAGATATCTTAAATTTTTTTTTAAAAAATTTTTCAAATCCTTTTTGTTAAAAAAAAAAAAAAAAATTCATAAAAAAGAATCTTTGTGCTATACAAGGAAAAGAAAGAAGAGGGAGAAAAAATCTAAAATATATATATACAAAAAAATGAAAAAAAAAAATTCGATAAATGAAAAAAAATATTTAAAAATGAAAAATATGATGATAAAAAAAAAAAATGATGGTGAGGAGAAATTTCTATATATATATATAAAGAAAGATAGAAGAAAAAAAGAATGTATTTATATAAAAAATGAATAGATCGTAAATGAGTACCCACCACGGTCTAACTTTTAATTCGCATTACGGCATTATTTAACAAGAGATTTACGAATCTCTGTTATCATATTTAATAAATTTTGGTTTTTGCCCACCCAAAAATTTGGCAAATAAAACCATAAAAAATATGTTCAAGAAAAAAGAATGAATATATATATATATATGAGTATATATATATAATAATGAAGTGTAATATATGCAAAAAAAAACGATAAAATGATAAACAAAATTGAAAGTGAAGAAAAAAAATATGAAACATAAAAACGAAACGAAAAATAATGCTCCAAAGAACTAGAAAAGTAATAATATCTACTGAAAGTAATATCTACTGAAAGTAGTAGGAGCTGGTAAATTTACATGTTGACGACCATAATCGAAAGAGTTCGAGTTGTTGTTATTGAAAATTTCAAAACAAGAATTGTTAACACCGATAGGTCCAGTTGTAGAATTTACCGTAGGCATAACATTATTGTTATTTGGAAGAGGTGGTAAAGCTCTAGCTCTTGGAGATGCTGTCGGGTCATTAACTATATCACTAATACGATTCGATAAAGGTGTATAATTCGTATTATAAGTGAAATTAGAATGACATTGAGGTTTCCAATCACAATTATCGATGCTCATTCTACCGAAACTTGGGAGAATAGCATTATTTAAAGAATTTAAAGAATTTAAAGAGTTTAAAGAGTTTAAAGAGTTTAATGAGTTTTGTGGATTAACATTAAAATTATCTGAATCTCCCAAAGGACCCAAAGTTGGTGATGGTTCAGGACTAATATCAGGTGTGTGTGCAGGAGTAGGCATGAATTCGCGTTCTTCATCGGAACCATTATCTTGACACATTGTTGGGGGTGAATTAGCCTGAACATCAAAAGGTACAATGGCAGATAAAGGAGGACTCATCAAATGGTATTCATTATTTTCATTAGAACGAATACGTTTAGGATATGGATCAATTATAGGAAATTCTAATGTAGGATGTTGCGCAACAGGATAATTTATACCCTGAACTCGATGATAATCCATTGTAGGAATAGCGATAGCGATAGATGATTGAGGTAATTGAACTGGATGAACTGGATGAAACATTGAAGGATTTCCATCGATAGAACCAGCAGAACTAGTACTAGATGAACTAGCATTTGAACTATTACTATTACTTCTAGACCGGAATGCATTGTTATTTTTGAATTCAACGGTCATTTTTTGTTGCTGTTTGCGTTTATCCTTTTTATTTGTATTTGTATGAATACGTCTATGACGAGTTAATTCATCAGATCTAGAGAACCTCTTTTCACAACCAGGAAAATCACAATGATGAGGTTTTTCTCCAGTATGAGTACGAATATGACGAGTTTGATGTTCCAATCTGTAAAAACCTCTAAAACATATATTACATTTATAAGGTCTGGGTGCATTTTGCCTATCAACTGACGCGTTTGAACGTCTTCTGGAAACGGTAGATGAATGAATAGATGGTGGTGGAGGTGGTGGTGGATTGGAAATGGAAGGATCATGACTCGCGTCGTACAAGTGTTGGGTGAAAATTGATTGCATAGATGAGTGAATTGGAGTAGGACATAAAATGTTGGCTAAAGCTGCTGCCATCTTTTTTTAAATTTCAATAAACAATAAATCAAAATAATAAAAATCAAGGAAAAATCTTTTTTTAAAAAGATTATAAAATCTTTAAAAATAAAAAGTCAAGAAAAATTTCGAGAGAGTCGTTAAAAGAATAAAAAAAGCCCAAAGTACAAATAAAAGAATAAAGATTCTTATATTTTTAGGCTGATTTTTTAAAGAATTTGCGGGAAAAGTTATTTATGTATTCGTAGGGTGGCCAAAAATTGGTAACGAAAATATCATAGGGAAAGATGTAAGAGAAAAGTGAGCTTTTATATAAAATCCTAATAATAAAAAATACTATAGTAGATAATAAAATAAAATAAAATAAAAAAAAAAGGCGTGTCTTGGTGTGACAAAACGAATAGATTGACATGTGAAATATAGTATTGAAATATATGGGTAGTAAAATACTACGCCCTTTTAGTAAGTAGAGTTCGTAAAGTTGAATGCTACACAAATATACAATACATACATCGAACTACAAGTGAATGGTGCACAAAGATTTAAAAAAGAAAAAAATATAGCCCAAGTGACTAAATATACGTACACACATATATGTACATATATGTATATCATATATATATTATTTACATTATAATCAAATCGTTATCTTTAAGATCACAATAAAATGAAAGTTACCTCTTACTGTGAACCGTTCCAACTTTTCCTAATAAGGGCCGCCCCACATATTTTGTAAAAAACGGGATATTATTTGAATTTCAAATTCGTATTTTTCGAGTGAAAAAAAATTTTCAAAGGACTGCATCAATAGCATTACATGGATAACAATTATAAATCATGATATCGATAGATACTGTATCTGGTATGTACTTTTATATATCTTTTTTTAAACGTTAATTTAAATTTTATTAACGTTAAAATTTATACGTATCCTTTTGGTATTTTTTGTATTTTTCGTATTAAATTCACAATTAAATTATCATCATTGTTAACATCATCAAACTACATTTAAAATTTTTACAAAGCCATGATAATAATAAATAGTTATAAAGATATAATTCTATTAGTATCTACAAAATACGTAAAAATTTTTTAAAAAATATATATATAAAATGAACGGCAGTAAAGAAAATATGCAGAGGATGCAACATGATACGACAGACACGCAGGATGCATCCGCCATACGACTTAAAAATTTAAATCTATAAATAAAATGTATTAGAAAATATAAATGTAATTAGAAAATGTATTACTGTATTAGAATACATGGTGTATGCAACATATGATATCTATCATAAAATCATATTCATGATATAAAAATTGACAGTTCGTGATGTTAAGCTTTCCATTTAAGTAATTTATCGTGTTAGGCCACGTTTTTTCATTTAATTATCAAGTGGAGTTTAGATCACAAACTAAAAAAAAAAATAAATAAAATAAATAAAATAAAATAAAAATATTTTTTAATTAATATTTAATATTTTTTTTTAAAAAAAAAATTATTAAAATCACTTTTTTTACCTCCGCATGTAGTCACAATATGGACACGGGAATTAGTCATTTATGAAAACACGCATTTAGTTGATATTATAACCTGTACTTTCTACAATGATATAAATGGTTAGAGTAAGAGCGAATGTTGCAATCGATCATGGTTAAGAACGGTTGACAGGTCGTACACATGTCACCATTGATAACAAATAAACAATCGTAAAATTTGGGTTGATTATTTTGATTACATTGGAGTTCAAGTGACAAACGTCGATCTATATAACCTATCTGTCATTGACACTGATGATCAACTACTTAATGTCAAACCCACGGAGTTTTAAGGAACTATCAAAATTAGTTCTTATAATTAGAATACCGGTTATATTTCACGTTATCCACGTAATCGTACATCCAGGTATGCCAAAAAGTTTTCTCGCGCGACCGATCACAAAGTTTGACAGCTTTTTAAACGTTAATTTTATTTTTTTGTAAAACAAAAAAAAATTACTGTAAATAATTATTTTAATTTATACTTAATTTAAATGATTTATATATTACACTATATATGTTAAATATGAATATTATAAATTATATATAATAAATATATCACTTATTTCTACTATAAAATATTCCTAAATTTATTATAATTTATTATAATCTATTATAATTTATTCTATTTTAACCATTATCTTTAGATAATTTTCTTTTTCTAATTTCTTATAATTTTATATAGCTTCATATACTTTACATAATTTTATAATTATAATCACTTATATTATTCGACATTAGTACAGTACTATTGTTATTAAAAATACTGTCAAACACAATTGTATGACTTATATTAATTACTTTTTATTTTACTCTTGTTTTCCTTCTATTTTAGTATTATTAAAGCATGTAAGCTAATATATGTTGTGTAATTTATTTTTATGTTAAAAGTATCAATTGAACTCATGAAAAATCCGCATTAATCTCATTAATCTCATTAATCTCATCTTCTTTGAATTAAAATGTTCCGATATTTCTCACATTGATCGTCATCGGAAAGAGAGAGAAAAAAAAAATTTTTTTTTTTTGAACTTCTTTGGGTTTATGCAAGCTTATGCGTGTTATGCAATGTGCTACAATCATTAAATAAATTGTCATGTGAAGATCTTGAGTGTGTGAACAATGTTGTATTCAAATCGTTCTTTTCTAAAAGATAAAAATGCTGATGATCATTTCTCATTGCATATCATGTGTTTTTTATGTACCTTTTATGTGACTGTGAATATATATATAAATAATTTATATAAATTTATCGATATGTATCGGTAAAACGTTGTGCAAATTTGACATTAATGATAAAAGTACGCCAAAGTTGTCATCGACACTCGGATGTCGTGTGATCATTCAAACACACGCTATTTAGCACGATGTAAATAGCGCGATATAAATTAGATATGAAAGATAACAGTTTTTTTTAATGTACAAATTGAGTGTTCTATTACTGCATTACTGTATTATAATATATTCTAATATATACTCTAATATATTCTAATATATAATCTAATGTATAATCTAATATAATTATATATTTTAAATTATTTAATTATTTATTAACTTTAATTGAACATACTTGAATATACTTGTTGAATATACTTGGATATATTTTCGAATGCATTATTTGGATATAATATTTGAATGCATCATTTGAATATATATTATTTGAATATTATATTATTATTGAGTATACAAGTATTACTTGAGTTTGAAGAGTATACTGTATTTGTTTGAATACATGAATACATTATTTGAATATAGTATTTGAATACAATATACTTTAATTAATACAGTGTCCTATTTTTCCAGATTTTCAAATACTTGATTTTTCCGTTAATTCGTTTTACACCTCGTAATTACCTTTATCGTAATAGTATATCGCACGTTTTGTATGAACAACAATATAAATCTATTCATTTTCTCCTAATCTTTTTTCGGAAATTTGAAATGTTTTTTTCTGACATTTAATTTCCAAAGTTAGTTGGTCTTGAATGCTAACTATCATCGATTTTTCCTTTCATTAATTTAAATCTCATGAATTATTTCGTAATGCTTGTGTATGTAGTTAAAACAATGGGTTTTTCTTATTGATATCCTGCTGTAGTAATCCTTTGTATTCTTTTCGTTGTTCATGTTCTCCACAAACACAATATCCCTTTTTTTTATTTTCCCCCCACAATTACTTGTGATAATTTTGTTCCATCTTCTCTAATTTGGTCATATCTGTTGTCATTCAAATCCCTACTCTTGGAGTAACGATACACTTATTACACGTGCATGTGAAAGATACGTAATACCTACATTAGATTTTGATTACACTATATATCGATATCCGTATACTTTACTAAAATAGTATTTCTCGAACAAAGGAACAATGGGTCTTCTATTTAAAACAAATCAATTCTTTTTATTAATTGTACCATATTTAATTGTTATCATTTTTTTTTAATATTATTATTTAATTCTCTTTTTTAATCTTACTTTCTTCTAATTTCTATTGTTCATTTTATTATTACTTATTATTATTACGTCTACTTGTTTCCCGCCTAGTCTTGAATTTTTATGTTTAATTCGTTTGTCTAAAGATTGTCTTTTTAAATACTGTACGTATGTACTATGTGTACTATATGTACTGTATGTATTATATGTACTGTATGTACTGTATGTACTGTATTTACTATACTAGTACTTACTAGTACTTACTAGTACTTACTAGTGGTTGTCTTTGTGATCTTTCTGATAAAGTACCGTACATGCGTGTGTACAAATTAATTTTTCCTAGCGAAATATACTTTATGTAAAAAATGCATATTTGATCCCTTTTGGTAACCCTTTCGGTTATTTAATTCGTTAATCATGTGCAGAGGCGTAAATCTCCTAATTTACTATTTCTAAATTTTTAAGTTTGAACTCTGTTACCCTATCTTTGATTCCTCTCCCTGAATCTTTGTTAAAACGTTAACTTTATTCCTGTTCCCCTCCCAGTCATGATATCTATTCCCAGGAACCCTTACGTCTTACCTTAGTACTCCCAAATATTTATGCAAAAATATCTCCCCATTTTTACAACTTATTTTTAATACTTTACAAAATACGTATAAACTTTGTTACAATTTTGCTTTAATAACATTGGATAATAACAAATTTGATTTCATATTGTCATTTTAAGGTAATTTATTTGTTACCCTAACTTTTTTTTTTTCTCACCATCTTCTTTTTTTGATCTTGATCTACTGTCTATTTAGACCATAAAGTTTATTTAAATGCTGTCAAACCCCCTTTTGGATTTTTCTGTCACTTTTAAGGTACTTTTTAAGGTGCATGGTTTTTTAATAAATAAATACGCATATCGTTATCGTTATATAAATATCTTTTTTTTTAAAAAAAATCACATTTTTTTATAAGATTTTCACATGTCATATTAATACGTATATCTAACGTTATTATGCTTTAATGTCAAAATTACTTTTATATTGTAATTATACCGA